GCTTTCTAACTATGCCAGAAGAGCTGTTACAAATTCATCCAAGCTAGTTGTTATCTTTCCCTTGGTAACAAAGCTTGTACTAAAAGAGAAATTGATGATTCTCTGTACAGAAAACAACATAATATAGGATGTAACTTAATAGATGAAAACTCTGGCATTCTATTGGTTATAAATAATATAGTATTAAATGTGAGAGAGTACTATTAACAAATCCTGAAAAAGAGGATGTGACAAATAGGTATGGCAAGAGGGGTCCGATTTTCTATTTGATGGCTCTGTAACCAAACAAGATGAAGGCTATGAAGATTATGCTTTGTCTGAGTAATGATATCATAGTGAGTAATTTACGTTATATTTCGTACTTATTGGAGAGATGGTGAATAAATTAGAGAATAGGGGATGCCTAGAGGAAAAATGTCATTTCTCACACTAGGAGAAATTCAGGATTTGTTTTGATATTGCCTTATGAAATTAAGAACTTATAACATATATATTATTAAAGAATGGATTATTAGCTATGATTTTATGCTCTACTGAATGAAAAGTAGTTTAATTAAATTTAGAATGTAACTCACTAAAAACCTCGTGACGTACAGTAAAGGTTGCTCATGGTGAGAGGGTTAATCAAATAAATAACTATGTAGTGTACTAGTACCATTAGTTTGAAAAAGAAGGTTTAAATTTCATCAGCAACTGACAGCAAAAGAACAAGAAGTTATGGATAAGTACTATATTTTTGTTTTTCAGGTATATTCTTCATTTATAAATGAAATGTAAACATTACAAATTTATTTGATTAAATAAAGTTAGATTAAGTAACAGAATGAAAAATAATAATAAATATTCTTCACAAGCAAGCACCTTCTGTGTTACATCATTTAGTATGGTAACATGAACTTCAGTTCACCGAGGGATTTACAACTTATATGGTTGGATTGTTAGTCAGACATGGGTCAGAGGCCAATGAAACAATAAAATTAAGTATAAACAGATAATTACTGTTACTTGCTTTAAGCTATTTAAGATACACAGTTGTAGTTTTATATTACAATTTGAAGTCATTCTAGAAAAGAAAAAGGTAATTTGGATCTATTTCATATTTTTTATGATGATTATGAGGTTGATCAAATTGGCCAACTTTGTATAGAGTTAGGGTAGAGAAAATAACAGGTGAAATATAAAGTTTTACTGCAAAAAGACGGCAGATATTTTATAGATTACGTAAATGAAATTTGACAATTGTCAGTTGAAAAATAGTATTTTTAATTTTAACATGAAAATCACTTTGCACTCAGAGCAATCAACACTCTGACTCTAAACCCATCATTTTTTAACATGCTGACAGAATTATTTTCATGGTTTCCTAATACTTATCACCATACCTTATAAAATTTCAATTTTCTTAATTTTGTGGATAACAACATGGTTTGGATTAATTTTTAGCCAAAGAGACATTTTATTGGATGCTGTCACTGTCTGAGAGGTAAATCAAGATGTTTGGTTGGACACTGATAGCCTCCACTCAGGTTTAAGGAGTTAATATTGTACATGCAATTTTGGGGTCAGAACTAGTTGGTAAAAGATCAGGAACCATTTCTGTGGAAGAATGAAAAGACCACACTTCAGGCACAAAAATATTCTTTGTACCATTAAACTACCTCCAGCAGGGTTGCGTGTCTTGCCTTATTTGATTTTATTCGTAGCTTTGCACTCTGAATTTTTTTAATCATTCATTAATGGAGCTGGGTAGTTAATTTGTGTAACCAATATAATGTGTTATCTTTGAGCATAGATTGCATCAATTAGTTTATTAATCTGGCTATCTAAGCAATTGAAATATTGCCATTATCAATTCACAAATATATTTCTGATTAATTTAAGTTTTTCTGTGTAATCATTATAGTCACAGCTCATTGAAGTACTCAGATAGTTGAAGTAGTGTAATTATGATTTGTTTGTGTTTTTTTTTTGTTTAATTTGGGCTAGCAAATCCTGGTGATTAGAGGAATTGCTTTGTGATTTGAGGGTCTTAGGTTCAATTCTCATTGCTTTCTCTTTCAGTGGCATTAGCCCCATGGTAGCACGGTAGTATGTCTGAGGACTTACAATGCAAGAAACTGGGTTTTGATACCCGTGGTGGACAGAACACAGCTAGCCCATTGTGTAGCTTTGTGCTTAATTACAAACAAATGATCAGCTGCAGTAGAATTTTATTTATTTATTTGATTTTGAGTTGTAAAGCAACTAAGGCTACTTAGCACCATCCCTAATTTTAAACTGGTGACCAGAGAGAAGGCAGTCAGCCAAGCATAAGCCTTGCCATCTCTTTTAGGCTACTTTAATGTTAAATAAAGTGCAAGTTTATCATTTTTTACATTGTATTATCTTCTGATACATAATTACATAATTGTATTATTTAATGTTGAATAAATGTAAAGTTACTGTTTTTACATTAATTTATGCTGTAAGTTATAACTTGCATAACTTTTTTTGAATATTAAACCTCAATTTGTATCCCAGTGGAAATTGTGAAATGCTCTGGTACATTTTGAACCTGTAACTGATGATTGTGCAAAACAATAGTCTTTATCACTCTGTCATGCCAACCTTTTAACCATGTGATAAATAACAATGTAACTGCACTTACTGATTCTCAATGAACATTAATATCATTAAAGTGATATAGTATTAGAATTGCAAATATTAATCTATTTATTAAGGTAACAAAACAAAAACACAACATATACATTTTCTTCTACATTTTACTTTATATGGTATGGAATAATAATGGTCCATTGTGTGTAAATAGGCTCTGATTGCAATTTTGCCTCGTACGGCCTTGAAAAAGAAAATTGTGCAGTAACTAAACTGACCCCAGAAAAATGTTTTACACCTTTTCTTTAAAAAATGTCCAAAAAAATTAAGCATATGTGCAGTTGATGATTTTTCACTCTTGTTATTTATCTGAGCAAGTTTCATAATGAACCCATCCACAGAACTTATCTGGTTGGAACTAAGTTGAAATTGTGTGAGGCAAAAAAAGTTGACATTGTAATGAATTTTTTAGTTTTTAATTGAAAAACTTTATTGAAAAAGTAAGAAACTTTTGCAATATGCATTATGCTTGACAAAATTTACTTGAGTATGAATTGTTTAATAATTATACTCAAATATATATTGAATTTTTAGTACATATTGATTTTTAGTACATGTTAATACTTTCTGCGTTATAATTTATATTTTAAATATTCACAATGTTTTATTTTAAATTAACGTATATACTGTAAATTAGGGTAAAATCTGGCCAAATACTGGGTCTGGGTACCCGGTCACTAAGCTTTGGCCGTGGCCAGGTGTCAACAGGGATTGAGTTCTCTCTTCGCACCCCCAAATAAAAAATATACACAAAAATTAGAAACCAAAAACAAAATTGACATTTATTACATTTAACATAATAATCACCAACAGAACATTGAAGTTTTACTTTCAATGTCTATCCCCAACTTCTCAAACCCTAACTCCTATTGTTCTCAAAACCCCCATCTTTCCCAGAAATCCACTTCTCAAGCTATGCCTGTTATTAACTCCTATTGTTTTCTGAATCCCCGACATTCAGCGGGCAATCAGTCTTTGTTGCTCGAAACATGTTTATTTTCAACTAAACCAGTTATTGATTGTAACTTTCAGTACTGCGTTAGTTGCCACAAAGATTAAGCTGCCTAACTTCAACGCTTGGCCAGAGTTGAGTATTACTGGGTTGCCCAATACCCGGCTGGGGCCAGGTATCTGGCTGGGTACCCGTGCATCCCTACTATAAATAGATTTTTTATGTTCATCAGTATTAGTTATCCATTTGTTCAGTTTGATTTAAAAATGAAATTTTACCATTAAATAGTGTTTTTATTTGTAACTTTATTATAAACTTTTGAAGCACTACAGACCCAGAATTGTAAACAATTCTGTCTAAATTTTATGTAGTTTGAATTTCATAGTGTTATTTGGAATGATAATTTTAACAAAACGTAAGTGAAGGTAGAAAGAAAGCTTGGCCAGAGTTGAGTATTACTGGGTTGCCCAATACCCGGCTGGGGCCAGGTATCTGGCTGGGTACCCGTGCATCCCTACTATAAATAGATTTTTTATGTTCATCAGTATTAGTTATCCATTTGTTCAGTTTGATTTAAAAATGAAATTTTACCATTAAATAGTGTTTTTATTTGTAACTTTATTATAAACTTTTGAAGCACTACAGACCCAGAATTGTAAACAATTCTGTCTAAATTTTATGTAGTTTGAATTTCATAGTGTTATTTGGAATGATAATTTTAACAAAACGTAAGTGAAGGTAGGAAGAAAGTTAGTTTTATTTTAATTGAATGTATGTGTTTGTTTAATGTTATTTTCTTTTTCCTGGAAAATGTACAGATTAGATTGGGCAATATTGGAAATAGCCTGGAATTAAAAGCTAAAAAATGAGAATGAATGCTGCATTTGATTACCTTGTAAAATTTGTTACACAAGCTTATACAATTTTCCTTTCCCATTGTCAGCTACTAGTATTTAGTTAGCTGGCACAGTGTTTCCTATTGGTAAACATTTTTTTGTGATTGCCACTGTTAAGAAGCTCTTAGGACAGATGTCTTTGAACAGCTGGCTAAAGAAATGATCCTTGTTAACCTTGCTTCTGCTAGACAAATATCAACTGTCTTTGAAATTCCAACAGATCTTTGCTCTTAAATGTTGTGTTGCATGCTAGCTGTGGTAGACTATATATCTGTATATTTATATGGCTTGAGCAGTGTAACATGATTAATCTATTTTCATATACAAATGAATATTCTACAAGGTTGGGGTGGAGGGCTGTGATGAAAGTAACCAATTAGTGTATTTCACAAGGTAGATCATGTGTTATGTCATAGGCATCATTTTTGTGATGTAAATGCCAGTTTATCTCAAGTGCACAATACAGTTTAAGTCATGTATAACATATTTCTTTTCAGCAACGAATCACTCTCCGCAACATGGTAGCACATTCCAATGCCGTTACAGTGACTGTCTGTCGACAGAATGGAAGTAAGTTTCTAATTACATGTTTATATTATGCTGCCAGTAAATTAATCTATATTTTTGTTAAAGAACTAGACAAGCAGAAAAAATTAGCTTTGTTGTTTCGATATAATTATTTTTATAAGGATATGTTGTCATTGGCAACATTTACTTAGTGCATCACCTGAGAAAGAACATATTAAAATTGAAATATTGTGTGTTATCAAACAATGACATTAATAAATTCTAATTTTACCTTCAGGTTTGGAAGACATACCTGCCTCACAACTTGTGCCTGGAGATTTGATTGTAATACCTCCCAATGGTTGTTTGATGGCTTGTGATGCTGTCCTTGTAGCTGGTAACTGCATTGTTAATGAGAGTATGTTAACAGGTAATTTTCTGTCTAGGATTGTTGTTGGATTATAAAAAAGACAACATAAAACAATATTTATGACATTTGTTTTAAGAATTGTTTAAAAAATGAAAAAGTCCTACTGATGTTTTAAATTTAAACCATCAATTATTGTTTAACTCTTTCGACACGGGCTCGGCCCCTGGTACCAAGTCATGTTACCTTTTCTACTCGTTTAAAGTTGACATAAATTTAATACTTAGAACTCTATATATATTGGGTATATCTTCACGAAATTTGGCAGTCTTTCAGTTAATATTACAAGTTTTTCACATACAAAAGCTCGTATTTCTTAGTGAAGTATTAATAAAATAAAATAAAGATTTGTCCATAAATATATTGAGTATTTATTTTCAATAGTCTGTGGGCAAAGTTAATTTCATGTTAAAATTAAAAATACTTTTCCTCAT